CAAAAACCCTTGAATTTGGAAATTTCCCCAAAAAAAAAAAACCAAAAAAAAAAAACTATTTGTGAGAGATGTGACCAAAATAAAATTTCAAATCTAACATAAGAAATTAAAGCAAGGTTTGAGTGAAGCATCATAAAACATCATACATCTTTGGAGACAAACAGCTCAATCAACCCTCTGCACTTGGAACCAAAACTCTGGTCCCATCTCTTTCCTGCAAAATGTAAGTAGAAATATATAGTTACATTTAATTATATGTTCAGAAAAGGACTTTCTTTTGGAACTAGCTAGGAAAAATGGGAACTTGAGCTCACTGCCATGGCACTTGAATCTCTGTTAGAAGATGAGTTCAACAAATGGGGTGGTTTGATATTAATGGATGTGCATAAATCCTGCTCATGAGCACCCATGGTTAATGATATAAAACACTAATTAATTTCTTTTGTCAAGATATGTACGGTAGTTGGTAATTATGATTGAATGAGTAAACAAAAATGCGAAAATGAAAAGGATATATAGGTACCCAGAGTCTAAGGACAGAGAAGAAGGAAGCTGGGCAAGAAGATCACAGGAATTTGTTCTTGAGCGCTGCGTTGTATCTCTGCATGGAAGGACTGGATAAACTGGAAAAATGAGTTCATTTCCTCCATTAGTCTGAGAGAATTTATTCAATAATGGATATTTCTTTAAAGAACAATCTATGGAATCTCATAATATGCAGAGATAATAACATTCCAAAAGCCACAAGAGACCTCAATTTCTCAAATTCTTGTTACAATAATTCCTCAAAAGCTCCTTCACCCAGCCAGTCATGGCCAAAACCAAAAGTTCCAGCCATAGGTATAAACAGAAACCAAAAGGCATAAAAGTAAGACAATTTGTAACAGTTATAAGTGAAAACAATAACCGATTACAGCTAGCCAACGTGCTAATCTAATGATTCCAGAGTAAAAAGTAGAATCCAACCACTTAATGAAACCACCCACATGCAAAACAAGAAGAAAAACAGATTCGGATCAAACACTTTCCCCAAATTACACAAATTACCCAAATTACAAAAAAACAACAGATTATAATGCAACCGCAAGCCCATTC